CACTATTCATAATTCTGGCCACCAGTATTGTGTAATGTTACACTACAGAAAGATTCGTAAAAATATCAATTTACCCACGATTTGACCCAAAAATATCGATTTATATTGATCTAAATAAATCAATATTTTCTCTGGTCCCTGACGAGAACCGTGCAATGATATGTTAAAGTTGTAAGTAAGTATATAAACGAGAGGGTTTAGATTTAGTGTGATTTGACAGTTCGAAAGAGTGCGTGTATGCAATTTATTAGAATCAAATAAAGAGAGTGTAAATATGGATTAAGTATCTAATGCTATGGCAAGCATGCCTACAAAGTAGAGCGAAACTCGCCCATTTATATAATAAAAACTATACTACTAATTACATATGATACTTATACTATTAATGTCCCAAACTTTATAAATGTCCTTAATATCTCTAATACTACTAATACCTCCTATATCCCTTGATGTACTTAATTCTCTTGCGCCATAACTGGAGCATACGGCACAATAGGCACATGTGGCACATTCGGTACATTCGGCGCAGTAACTCGTGATTTCCAAACTCGTGACATATCAGTTTAGCCGGGGGTTAGATCAGCAAGGGTAACACCAGATATTATTCGAATACCCTTCGGATTATCCGGATAATTCAGATACGGATGATGGTTTATCCGGATTGGAATTCTACTACCCATAAAGCGATGTTAGAATGATTTTATTGTAGAATACAAACTTTCTCACCCTAACACTAACCGTAAAGAGCTGTTAGAATGATTATTTTGCTGTATTTACTGCAGTACTGTAATTGTTTTTAAGTACACCATGATTGGCTAAATTTCACATGACTGTTGTCTTCTTTTTACATATCGTGTATTATGCAAGGAAGGGAAACGCTGATTATTCACCTTTATCCTGCAGGGTGTGCTAATAGAGATGTCAAAATCTAACTCGTCGTTTAATGGCGATCTGACATCTAGTAATAATAATAAGAATTTTTTTCTACATCTTCAAAATTCGCAATTTTTGATTGGTCGATCAATGATTTTTCCGGATTGAATTATAACCGTGAAAGAGAATCCGAATTCAATCCGGATCGTCCTGAAAAAATAGGATGAAGCTCTAATTTGGTTGATAAGTCAATATTTCAGTCATGATAAATGCTATTAGTAAAAAAATTATCTATATCTATCGAATTTATATTTATATATATATATATTTATGTATATATTATCAATTATAGTCTAGAAAAATAGTTAGAACTCGTGATCATCAGGTGGTCCACGAATTTTGAATTTTGCTGTAATCGAGTCAATTAAAATCGATAATTGTCAATCAATCAATATAACTCAATTAAAGTGATCGATAATCATACCCTATAAGTTTATATACAGATAAAATATCATTCTTATAGTATAGTTCTCGTTATATAAGAAATATTATCGTAAATCGCCGGATACAAGATCCCCCATGATAGTAGGCCCACCATGTAGTATACCCGGATGCGTATCATGAGGTCTATATTAATCAAACATGGGTTTTTTCAAATATCTGGATTGTCTATTATAAATGAAAAACATGCATACTCTTCAAACTTTTCCTCTTAGTGACCTGAACTCTCGGCTGCATACTAGACCCTGGGTATTTAAAATTGGTGAAATGTAAGAGACCCGGGCCTTGTATCCGGCGATTTACGGTACATACAGTAATTAAAACCAGAGAACCTTGCACGACTAAAATAATTTGGCATGCCGTTTAGCAAATAGCATACTAATATATATATAGTATAATAAATATTATTAAATTGCTTTAACCAATCAAATTACGTGAATATAATTTTATATAATAAAGGCATATCATAATGAACTTGGCATACCAATGAAAGTCCTCCGCATAATTAATTATATTAAGCTGCTACATATTGTATATTTTTTAATATTAAAATCTTGTTAAAATTCAGCTCAGAACTCAGCAGCTAGTATTTTATAAAAATCATGACTAAGCGATTGATGGCTAATTACGAAATCTCCCTCTTAAGACTATTCAAACTTATATATAAAAAAGAAATTTGCTTTTTAATCAATCAATCATTCATCACTGACGCAAAAATAAAGATTTTGCTAAATTCATAATTACAGTTAATTTCTAATCTTATCAATAACGATAAGTAATCGCCCATCACTAGTCACCATATTTGTATATTGTAACGGTTCAAGAATCAAAAATTGATTTTCATGTGATCTTACCATGTATGTTATAGACGTAAATATGCGAAAATTGCTATAGAATTGGTTTAAAAAGAATTATCAGGTCGACTCGCTGAATTTTAGTATCTCTAAATTATTCAAAAAATTACATTGGTTTAGCCTTGGTCAATATACTAGAATATTGAATTTAGGCATCGATTTAATGCATATATGAAAGCCATTACATCATGAGAACCTGACTCGTCTTTATTTTTACCTCGTCTAACAAACCTTATAATAATGGTAGGTGAGATAACATATATTCTTAATTATGAATACTGTATAGTACAAAAACAGATTATTTTACATACTAAATGTTATATGTAATAAAAAATCCCAAAGAAATTGAACTAATGTAAATATGAGTGTGATTACCAATTAAATCAAATTCTAACACAAAATTACTACAATCTATAGGTAGTTTCGGGAATTAAATGATCCTTGAACTTGATTTTAAATATTTCAAACCAATTATTCACGATGCGTTCATGGGTTACTACCACTTGTGTGTCCTTGAGTATTATTCCACGAGAGATAAGTATGATCACCAAGTTTTCTATTTAAATATATATATATATATATTCATAATGTAAGTCTATGCCTTTCTAGATATACAGCTTGTGAACTCACTAAAGTAATAAACTATGAAATACTGTTACATAAAAATTCATAACATACCTTGGCTTATACAAATGCCGAGCAGTGAAAATAGCACCTAATACGACACATGCAATTCCAACGGCGATATAAGCTAATCCCAAGAATGGATTTTTGCCTCCAAGGAACGAGACGGTGGATAATACAAATGACTTAGTACCACCGTATCGAGTTACAGGAAATCCTAAATCCCATAACCAAAATATCAGTAAAATATATAAATATAAAACAACCAAATTTTATAATTTACTACGCACTATAATCAATTGAAACATCATAAGTTCCAGCTTGTAATATAGTAGTGTCATTTCTTGAATATAATTTCCTAAAATCAGGAAGACCTGCTGTACGCATCCAAACTTGAAAGAGTTCATCTGTGGATAGATCTGGTGGTGGTGCATCAGCGGTGTAAGTACCGTTGGGATAAGCGCTCGCCCAATCTGGTGGTGGAACAATATCACTTAGGGAGTAACTAGTAGGACCGTACTTTTGTTTGTCTGATGGCCAGGCAATTCCTTTGCTAACAAGAACATAGGTATCGTTTGCCTTACTTCCATCGATATTTTGCACAAGTGTAAGGTTGTGGATCGTATCTAAAAAAAAAAAAAAAAGCAATTGAAATTAAAAACTTCATTATTAGGAGAAAGTGATGAACAAGGACCTGAACAACAAATACAAAAGTTATATTGAAATTTCAACTAAAAAAAAAGGTATCAATTTACAAAATAAAAAGTGGTTATTAACTTTAAAGGATTAATGTTATATTAAAAATTGTCCAATTCGGTATGTTTTATATAAGGCTATATTAATAAACTATATATTACTCAATATAATGTGGAGAGATTAAAATGTAAATATTGTAAATATGGGTAATTGCTATCAAGATAAAATGATAAAATTTATAAAATTTGTATTAATGATAAATATAACCTCTATAAATGTATTGTTCTGGTCCTGATCAACGTATGTTTATCCCATACTTTCGATTTTTTAATTACCATTAAATATAGAATTAGCAATTAGACCACAAGGATAAATGGCTTTAGCTGGGTTATCGTTGGTGACTGCCATTGGACTACAGGCACCCCCTTTTAGAGTATCTGCAGAAACAACCATGCCCTTGAGCTGATTAGCGTTAAAACTTTTAACATAACTTCGATGATTTTGATAAAAATTTGTTAATCGATAGTAGATAAATAATGGTGGCTTTAATGTTGAAGGAATAGGGAATCTAAGATGACAACGCCAAACGCCTGAATTAGTATATTTAAATTCTTCTGTAGCCACCACCTCACGACTCCATTGAATTTGTGATGCATATTGTTGATGGGATGATACTTGAGGGAATGTCGCTGTTATAAATTCTGAAGGCACACTGGTGTAATTATTAGGGTAATCGCCGGCTATGTTTATATGAATTGTATATACAATATGTGGTGTGAATTATATGAAATTTCAGAATTGAATATGCTATAACTTATTTGCTTATTTTACTATAAAATACCTCTAGAATCACAATAGGTATAATCGATAACTAGTTCTGTAACCTATAAAAACATAAAATATCTGTAACTAATTCGATTATTAATCTTAGTAACTACTACCACTAGCTTACGCTGTTACTAGCCCATAGAAGTAGACCACCGAGTGGTGCGAAGATGACTCCAACGATAAAAAACGTTGGAAGAACAGTTTTTGGAGTTAAAATTGGCTGCCAAGCCTTTAAACGTTGTTGCTTAAAAGCAGTATCTATTTAATATTCAAGGTAAATATGAAGTGTAATAACTTAAATTATACTTTAAGATGCTGAATTTTTAATCTCACTCTTTTCACTTACTTGCTGGCTTACGGCTCTTTGTTTCAGGAGCCATTTATATTTATATTCTAACCTTAAAGAGTTAAATACCCTCTTTACCTTCGTGCTGATCGTTGACACTCCAAAGAAAGCCTTCGAGTCGATTAAAAGCTCAAAATAAATAATAATAATAATAATAATCGGGAATTATGATTTATAGCTTATACGAACACAACATAATTAAGGTGATTGAAAGTTTTCTAAAACGTGTATGTACATACTGGTTAAGCCACATGAAATTAGCCACGTGTTGATCACGTCTATCGAACTTTACTTATTTTTTTCGAGGTGATCCTGGCCGATTATTACTGTATTATTTACTGGCCTATCGTTATGATTAAACGTTCGTTCGTTCTACATTGAATGGCGTACATAATTTTTTAAATGAAGGAGCTATGACTTCATTAGTCATGGTTGAGAACGTAACGTTTCACTAATAAAAGATCACTGTAAAACCTTTAGATTTACTGTAAGAATCTCACTTCTGACTTTGCTTATAAGGTAAACATATCCCCGCTAACAGGTAAATTCCCGGGGCTTATTTCCCCGAGTAAGGGTCGTTTTTATATGATATCATGACGACTCATAATAAGGGAAGGGTCAGATATCAGCTGATATCGTAAGGTAGGGGGAGGTAGACAAAATCTCAGGTCTAAATATGTACATATAACCAATCAGAATGACTAAATTTCTCAGGAGGGAGGGGCAGTGTTGTACACGGTCGTTGTCCGTGATGGTGTCCTAATATCACAAAATTTATCAAGCGACCTCATTAGCTAAAAAGAACACTCATATTATAAGTTTTAATTGTCCGGGACGTTAACATTTTGGCGGACATGTCCGTTGTCCGTGTCCCTGTCCCATGACAACACTGGGGGTTACAGGAGCGACCGTCGATGTTACACGACTGTCAAGTATTGTAAAATTATTTTTTTATGTGTTTCATACCGTGTGAAAAATCAGTCGTGTAACATCGACGGTCGCTCCTGTAACTGGGGTATAGTAAACTATCTCAGCTAATATCTGACTCACCACCCTAGTAATAAAAAAGCAAAATTTCTAACAACATTCCGGAAGTTCGAATAAATAATACATCACTAAAAATTTGGGTTTTTTACTTATTAAAGTAGTGATTATACATTTTTTTTTTTTTTTTTTTTTTTAAGGTGAGATCTTGCCTCTTGTTATTTATTAGGTATATACATATATCAATTACATACATTTATACAACAATTAATACAACAGTGGCTTAGACTAATTATCTACGATCTAT